CAGGTAGTGTGCTAGTAACAGTTTGTCTCTCTTGTTCCACAGCTAGAGACCGCCCACAAGTCAAAGGTGTGTTTTTCTTTGCTTCCATTATTTTCTGCAGTGTAGATTAATACAAAAGATCTCAAAACTATGAAATAGCGCAGATGGAATTCAGCAAAGAAGAGTAACAAAGCTAAATATCTTAGATACTTCAAAGTAGTCACCTTTTGCTATAATAGTTTTGTACAGTCTTGGCATTCTCTCAGCCCAGCTCTCGACTATGGAATGAGGTGTGTCCGACCTTCTAACTGGTACTGTATAGCGGTATGTAACTGTGACAAGTGAGACAGTATGTTGCTGTTCAACTGGCATGTGACAGTTCTTGCCCACAAACAACGCTTTTACAGTATACAGTCAAGCCCAAAATTATTCATACCCCTGGCAAATTCTGACTTAAAGTTACTTTTACTTAACCAGCAAGTTTTTTTTTTTTTTTTTTTAAACAGGAAATGACACAGGCGTCTCCCAAAAGATAATACGATGAACAAGAGGCATCATTGTGAAACAAAATATTTCTCAGCCTTTATTTACATTTGAACAAAAAGTGGCATGTCCAAAATTATTCATACCCTTCTCAATAATTAATAGAAAAGCCTTTATTGGCTATTACAGCAATCAAACGCTTCCTATAATTGCTGACCAGCTTTTTGCACATCTCCACTGGTATTTTTGCCCATTCATCTTTAGCGATGAGCTCCAACTCTTTCAGGTTGGAGGGTCTCCTTGCCATCACCCTCAGCTTTAGCTCCCTCCACAGATTCTCAATTGGATTCAAGTCAGGACTCTGGATGGGCCACTGCAAACGTTAATATTTTTGTCTGCTAACCATTTCTTCACCACTTTTGCTGTGTGTTTTGGGTCGTTGTCATGCTGAAATGTCCACTGGTGCCCAAGGCCAAGTTTCTCTGCAGACTGCCTGATGTTGTTGTTGAGAATTTTGATGCATTTCTCCTTTTTCATGGTGCTGTTTAGTGCAATTAGGTTCCCTGGTCCACCGGCTGAAAAACACCCCCAAAACATTAGGTTCCCACCATCATGTTTGACAGTGGGAAAGGTGTTCCTAGGGTTGAAGGCTTCTCCTTTTTTACGCCAAATGAAGGCTACATCATTGTGGCCAAACAATTCAATTTTTGTTTCATCTGACCATAAAACAGAAGACCAGAAGTCTTCTTCTTTGTCCAGATGAGCATTTGCAAAAGGCCAAGTGGCCTTTTGTGTGCCTTATCTGGAGAAGTGGTGTCCTCCTTGGTCTGCGTCTGTGGAACCCAGTGGTGTGCAGTGTCCGTTGGACTGTCTGCCTTGAGATGTTGCCATCAGCAGAGCCCAGATTCATCAGGATGGCCTTGGTGGTGATCCTTGGATTCTTTTTTTACCTCTCTCACTATCCTCCTGGCCAGCACAGGTGTCACTTTTGGCATCCGACCACGTCCTCTGAGATTTTTCACAGTGCAGAACGTCCTATATTTTATAATAATACTTTGCACTGTAGCCAATGGAACTTCAAAACATTTAGATATGGTCTTATAGCCCTTTCCTGACTTATGAGCAGCCACAATGCGCAACCGCAGGTCCTCAGTGAGCCCCTTTGTCTTAGCCATGACTGTCCACACACCAACAGTAGAGAGCTTCTGTTTTTCACCTGTTGAGTTGATTAAAAACAGCTGTTCCCAATGAATGAGTGTAATTAGGATGCTTTAGAACACCCTGGACTATTTGGAATGGTATAGAACTTTGGATTTTCCCATAGACTGTGACAGTTTGCAAAGGGTATGAAAAATTTTGGACATGCCACTTTTTTGTTCAAATGTAAATAAAAGCTGAGAAATTTTTTTTTCCACAATGATGCCTCTCGTGCATCGTATTATCTTCTTTTGGGAGACGCCTGTGTCATTTCCTGTCAAAAAAAACTTGCTGGTTGAATAAAAGTAACTTTAAGTCAGAATTTGCCAGGGGTATAAATAATTTCGGGCTTGACTGTATGTACTTAAGTAACTGTATACAATCGACTTTCTCCAGTAATCAGATTTCTTAACTGTCATGTAAATGAGAAACCTAGTTTCTGTGATCAGGGTTAGGGATTAGAGAAACCCGACTTCCCCAGGTAAATTTCTGCTGCAGAATGCAAATTTTTCTGCCATGTATGCATGCAGCGAGATTTTAATCATCTTTTTTCAAGTGTGCATGACAAAAAAATTAATTCAGACAGAGAAAGAACTGGAGTGGAGTGGCTGTATGAAAGGAAAGAGAGAAGAGAGATAACCATGGCTCATAAGAGGCTATTCCAGCCGTAAATACCATTGATGTTTTGGAAGCCATGTTAGCGGGACTAGTTGTAGCTACATGTCAGCCCTGTGTCATTTTGATGTAATGTAAAAGCAGAACGTGACCTGAGTGCACACACCCGAGTCTAGATACAACTTCGAGCCTATTGCAATACACACTTGACAGCTGACAACATGTCATTAACAATATCTGGTGCCAACATGCCATAGAACAAATATAGTAAACCTGAAGCCTTCATTCATATTTATAGAAAGATACTGTAACTAAACTCAATCAAAGCAAGACCACAAGTATAACAATGCCCAAAACAAGCAAACACTTTGCTACTCTGTCTTTTTAACAACACCCTAAACATAGGCCTGCCAGACTTATCAGCTTGAAATAGGCCATGCTGGAGTAGTATGTACATATGAGCCTCTAACGGCATAGAGAGTAAGATGCCATCACCCATTTATGTACTTAGAACCAGCTGGCTTCAACTCTATTACATTAACAACTTAAACTGTGAGCACACACGCTTAGCTCATCACACACACCACTCCTCAGTATTTGACAACCATGCCATCTGACACTGCCTGGCAAATGCCTGACCTGCCCATCTGTGCTATGTCACTGCCACTAGGCAAACGGCACAGACAATGTCACCTGGCCCTGCCTGCAAAATACCACCAACTGCATTCCTGTGCCACCCTTAGATGCTGAATTGCTCATTATGCAAATGTAACTGTATCCAAGGGATTAGGAGCATATACTAATATATTTCCTTCTGGATGCCAATTGTGTAACGTTAGGGTGACTCTGTTATAGAGATACCACTTCCAATTAGATTTGAATGTTACCAGCCAAAATGTAGTGGGCTTAATTTAGAAGAGTAGGCCTAAAACACCAAAACATCTGGGAACCACCCACAAACCTAACAGAAACACGGATTAAATCAGTTCACATGCAACTGCTAAACAGAGACATATTTCTGTGGCTAACGATGCAGATGACCTAGTGATGTATTACTTGACATTTCTTCTTCTTGACACTACGGCTACTTAACTGACAGGTTTGCTGCCGTCAGTAGTGCAGACTGACCTGTTTCACCACCTGGGAAGATAACGCCAACGTGTCTAGCCCATGTTCCTCCTCATTCACCCATATTTCGGCTGCACCGTGTTAACAGACTAATTCCTTTATATATTTGAGGCGGGTTTCTTTACTCTACTGCTTTATTGTACTGAACAAGGTTAACTGCGTAGCTGCTCACTCGAGACAAAAACAGGAAATGTCGGGTTAACGTATGAACCAAATACACCACTATCGTTAAAATTATAAAGTGCAACACTAAATGTTACTTACAAGGCAATAGACCAAACTTCATTTTTAAATCTGGCAATTCCAGTGTACTATAACGCTGAACGTTATCTTCATTCCAAGACTTTGCAATAGTATAAATTAATTTAAGTAACCGCAAAGCTAATTAAGATCCACTTTTCAATTCGGCGTACGTCGAAAACATAAAACCAACATATACGTGCTCGGGAATTTAAACTTTTGGCATGGTAACGTTACACATTCCCACAATTTAACAGTTAACTTTCCCTGACACCATAACATATCACAGCACCGTGGGCAGCAGCGACCAACGTGAACTAATCAAGTTTACTTTAGTTAGTTCTAAAGGAGATGCTAATGCTATATATACCGAAATTACCGGAAGATCACAATTTCCGAGGAGTATAACGTTAGCTATGCTCTCCGAAAAAGTACCAAGATATTGTGCTATCAGATTTTTTTTACATAAAATCTAGCGGAACAAATCCCTACAAGAGTAGGTACACACTCGAGGCTAGCGTTAACATTAAACACTAAAACTAGATAACGTACTCCGGACGGAATCCCACGTTGCTTCCAAACATTTCGTGTCTTTAACCCAGAAAACTGCGCTAATCAATCGCCACCTCAGAAAATTAACGTTAGACTTGAGTAAACTTTATACAAGGAACGGAACAAGAAAGATTTAAAATTCCAAAGAAGCTCACCCATCATGCTGCCGTTTCTGTCTGCTCCGATCACAAGCGTTCCGCCACTTGACATTCCGTCTCACAACCTCAGCACTCAAGTATGTGAAGTAGTCGTACCTAGTGCACTACGCTCATTATTTGACGCAATGGTATGTGATTGACAGGCGACAGTCAACGCTAAATGCGTACGCTCTACGTGGAGAATACCTTCTGCAACGTATCGCGAGATTTGAATCAACTACGATTTACAACTACGGATAGCTACGTCTTTTGTCCTACTGATACTATAAAATCGATTAGGATTACATCAGCCAAGCACAATCGCTATGTAATGACTACAAATTTGCAAACGCTATCTACACTAGCAAGCAATGAAGGGATAATAACAGGACATGTGTAATTCTACTCCTGAAGCTAATGCACATGTGCACTACAAAATATACAGAGATATTTTGGTCAGACACTCTTGCTTTTATTCAAAGAAAAATTCTCAGACTTCTGTTTCTTCTTTAAAGACATTTTTTGGGACTTCTGGTTACAAAAAAGAGAACGATGAGATATATTTGATAATAAACCTTAGGTTTATAATTGCTACATTTTATATTTATAAGTGTAAATATAATAACAGCAAAATATAAATGACATACTTGGAAAACACTAAATTCTCAAAAATAACAAACCGATAAAATAATACACTTCCGTGAAGTTTACTTTATTAACCTTTATTTTATTTACAGTTTATTACAGTGACCCGCACAGTGACGACGCTACAGGTCACTGTGCGCCAAGACAACCAGGCACAAGGATATATACTTTATGTACACATTGAGAGCCGCTGTACCAAAGTCAAATTCCTCCGTGTCAGACATACCTGCCCAATAAAGCTGATTCTGATCTTTCACGCTTCATTTTCCTTGCTGTCTTCTCTTATTATCTGTTATTTAAGTTAATATTGTCCTTATGCTCCCTGGCTTTGTTCTACTCTGTTCTGTTTGTTCTCTGAAACAATAAAGCTTTAAAAATAACAGGTCATGTGTAAATAGTTAACACAACACAGGTAGACCTATGGCCTGTACAAATAATACAGTAATCACAGCGCTTTCCGTCTCCTGGCAAATGAGGCGGTCAACAGCTCCATCTAGAGGCTTGTTGACTTAGATACAATTTACAGGCCTTTTACGGGCCTCTAAGGACTCCTGTTCAGTCCTTGTGTGTGTGAGAGAGGGAGAACGGTGTGTGTGTGTTTTATAGACAGAATCAAGGTTAGCTAATATGGATATCCTCTGTTCAGCATGGCATTTGCCATACATATTTTCTGAACTAATAGCGTGATTTTATTGGCAGCACATTTTAAACATAGTGTTGGCAACTCTAATGTAACTCCTCCTAACTTCTTTTAATCAACTTGAATAAATCGTTGTGGACACCACACAGCAGC